GGGGGGGGGGGTTGAGTTAAGGCCGGGGGCGGGACGCCAAGGCCCGCCCAGGAGGGGGCTGCGACCCGCGGTGACCTGCCGGCCCCCGCTCTCCACCCGGGGGCTCGGCCTCCCGCCCCTGCCGGTTGGGGCGGGGAGGCACTCCGGGCATTGCCGAGGTAAGCGGACTCACCCAGTTTTTCTGAAGTGTCGGCCCCTCAGGCCCACCGCGGCCGGGCAGCCAGGCTCGGGAAGAGCTGAGGGGCCTCGGGGCGGACCAAAGTGGTCTGCCTTTGGCCTCAACGCCCACTGGCCCCTGCGGTCAGACTGGCACGGACCACCCCAGCCAGCTAAGATCCCTGTCTGTGGAGACACTGCCCGTTTCTGGCGCTTCAAGCACAGGGACCGGCTCAGGGCCCCTTGCCCAGCTCCCGGTGAAGACCTCCCTCTACCCCGAGGGCGCAGAGCCTACCCCCAGGAAATGACTCCTTCTGGTGCCACTGGAAGGCTGACTAACAAGTGACATGAGCCCTGATGTTCAGATGAAAGGGGCTGAGGGCATCCACGCTGAAGATCTACCACCTTCAGAAACGCCAGTCTCCGCCCACTGCCGCTCCTAGAAGTCACCTGGGTGGTGCTGGGGTGTCCTCCTTGACAGCTGGTCCTCTGAGCTGGACAGGTGGACCAAGGAACCCCAGATAGGCCTCCCCACCGGCACCCAAAGACAGCTGCCACCTACCCGCCAGGGGCAGAGGGTAGAGGTGAAGAGGCTGATAGCTTTAAGACTGCTGCAGCCCTGCCAGGGAAGGAACAAGTTAGGACCCTGTCAGCAGATCTGGATTATAAATTAGTCCGGAGAGGAGCTTTTGTTCTGGGTGAAAACTTGGCATCTGAAGAGCGGAGACCAGTAGCGTAGTAGAGATAACTGGGGAGGCAGCCCAGTTTGGATGCAGTAACAATTGGGTCTTTGCTGGTGCACATAAAGGCCCCTTCTCCGGCGCTGGCCAAAGCCACGTTTCCCAGCTCCTTTCCACCAGAGAAAAAGCCATGGCCTGGGAGATACTGGAGACAGAGGGCAAGCCAGTTACCTATTAGCATGGAGTGGGCAGCAGGCTCTCTGCCTCTGGAGGGAGAAGACATGTGTGACTCTTGTAGGGTCAGACCCACTCTCTATTTAGGTGGTGGTCACCGGATATGCAGATCCCCTCACCTTTGTTCTGTGCTGTAGCTTTGCAACCTGCCTTCACTACTTTTTCTTTCGCTCCACCCTGAAGACCATCCTTGTAAAAGTAGGTATTATTTTTCCTGTTTTGTAGATAAAATGAGTCTCAGAGAGACCTGCCCAAAGTCGTGTAGATACTAGTGAGGTCAGAATGTTAGTTAAATCAGACCCTGGGACTCCCAATCCATCTTTCCACTAAGTCATAGCAGATCCTGACAACTTTTAGATCCCAGATGCTCCATTTCCTGATGTTTTTCCTCACCTTTGAGCCCCACCCCACCTAGGTGTAAGGGTTACCATGCAGAGACTTGAGCTCCTGGCTTCACCTGCAAGATGGCCCCAGTGGAAAGTTTCAAAAGGTGGTTTGGTTTCACTGGCAGGGGCAGTCTTCCATATCTCACACTGGGCTTCTGCGTTCTAGTAACAGACTTCAGGAGCCCTTCCCTCCCAAATACTCCCCAAAGTTAAGGCTGCAGCTCCCTACACCTCTTTTCCACATGAGCCCATTTCCTGCTATGTTCTATTCATTTCCAGCACAGGCTTCTTCTGTGGATGGGTGGGCAGGGGATAAGATTTCCTGCATGACTACTTGCTCATGATTCATACTTTTAAATCTAAGTACAATTGGTCGAAAATGAGGATTCCTGGGTCTTAAGAGAAAAAAAAATGACCCCCCCCCCCAAAAAAAAGGCTCGCTTATCTATCAACCTCCCTGGGGTCTGTCTGGCATATTCTGTGGAAGGTGCCCACGCTCAGCCTTAGGCCCTGAGAGACCCTCCTACTTGTCCCATTTGCTCAGCTGCTTGAGGCCAAGTCATGGAGTCAGAGATGTCAAATGCCTTCCGGGCTTCTCTCCGGACCCACTGGCAGCTCAGGCTGGCCCCTACAGATTCAGACCCAGGAGTCGGACCTGAAAAGCAAGGCCTCTCTCTTTCCCACACATTGGTCCTGTGCCATGGTGGCCCTCCTTTGGGCTCCTTACCCGCTGAGGCAGCTTACTGACAAGAGAGGCCAGAGTTCACATTGGGGTTCTCCAGTCAACACCACCTGGCCAACTTTCCAGGGAGCCCAGAGCGGTTGTCAACCCACAGGGGGAAATGAGAAAGTCTGGGTCAGCTACCCTTCAGGGATCTGCGGGCCTCAGGACAGAGGTCAGTGGGGACACAGGAAAAGCACTTCCTCTCTACTTCCTCCTGAAGGAGAGTTATCAAAGCCACCCACCTGGGAAGCCTTTCCCTTCCCAGCCCTTTCCTGCCGCCATCACCAAAAGGAAGCAGGAAAATGTCTGTCATCACAGCCCCGGATGCTTGCTGCTTTCCAAGGGACTTCATATCCCTCAGCCTTTGCCAGGGGCTCAGATACGGAAAGGGCGAGTGGGGAGGTTGCCAGCACCACTGCCGCATTCTGGACCTAGAGGACGCTGTCTCTAACCGGTCCTAGACTAGTTTCAGATCTGGTCAGCTCCCAGCCAGTTCCAGAGCGGGCCCATTACATGTCCCAGGGGATAGTGTACGCCCTTGGGTGACCTCAAAGTGTACACCTCTGCTCAGGTTACAGTGAGGTCTCTGGAGGGACTGAGCCGTCACCAACACCTCCTCTGTCTTTGGTGTCTATTTCTTTCTGAGGGGTGAGTGTGTTTGGGGAGCAGGGAGGAGGGGATGCTGCACAAGCACCAGGACTGGGGGCTCCGCTGGTGAACAGCTCCATCCCTTTCAAAGAGCCACAGGGGCAACTAGAGTCTGGAAACTCCCAGGTTCAACTTCGCAGGCCTCCCTACTCCCTCTCTGCCCTTGGCAGGGAGAACAAAGAAGGGAAATTTCAAAGGTGATTTCCAGGTTCCCAGAGCAAACTGAATGGCTGTGGATTAATTGTCAGGATGTGCAGTGTCAGAAGCCGGCAGCCTGAGGGAGGGTGCAGGAGACTGGCTCACCAGAGCCCCTGCTCTATCTCCATCTTTTCTCTCTTTTATCGCTGGATCGAAGGATCTCAGGCCTACCTACTGCCGCTGGGGCCTCAGTGGTGTCCCTCCCACACCAAGGGGACCTGCAGTGTGTTCAGAGACAGACACCAGAACAGTCACCTGGGCATCGAAGTCACCCTGGTGGTTTCTTCCACCTCTCCCTTGGCAAAGGCTGCGAGGCAGGGAGAGGTGTCCTGCATGGTACCCAGCCCTCTGAATTATAGATGCCCCCTGGCTCCCAGCATTCTGGGGACTCAAGAGGGAGGCAGCTGTGTCTTAAACAGGCCCAGGAAGTGATGGGCTACCCTGTGGGTCTGCAAATTGAACTACTTGGCCTAAAGGCCCTTTACTTGGGGAGAGTCTCTCTCCTAGTTAGCCCGCCTTTCCCTGACTTCTGTGGCATCAAAGCACAAAGGAGGGCCGGCTGAGTGGCTCGTTGGTTAAGAGCTGGCTTGGGAGCGCGAGCTCTGAGCAGCGGGGCTGCCGGTTCAGATCCCACATGGGCCAGTGACACTGCCCTCTATGGCTAAGATGGTGAAAAACAGCTCTACCTGGAGCTGGGCTGCTGTGAGTCGCCAACGACAGTGTAGGCTGCAGCGGGGCTGCAGTGGGCTGCCGTAAGCTACCATGAGTGGCCGGCAGCCAGTGTGAACTGCCATAAGTGGCCATCCAATGGCCGGCGAGCGACTGCCTCAGCCGGGAAGAGCTCAATGATCATAATACCAACATGGGCCAGTGAAGCGACATCCTCCACAACTAGACTGAAGAACCAAAGGACAGCCACTTGTCTGTTCCCCTTCCCCAATTCCCCAACGCTGTTCCCTCCCCCAATTCCCCAATAAAAGTCTTAAAAAAAAAAAAAGCACAAAAGAGAGGGACATGTCAGCAGGGAAAGCTGTAAGCACCCGCCTTGTCTGCTCCATCGGCAGACACTTGGGGTGTTGAGGAGTGCGCACAGGCCGCCTGGGCAGGGCTCACCCTTTGCTACTACCTGTCTGTTTCCATGGCCCCTGCAGAACCCCCAGAGAGTCAGGAGGGGCCAAAGACGAGAAATGGATTCTCAAGATTGGAAAAACAGAGGAGAAAGTGGACACCCAGGGATCTCCTGGGGGATACGGAGGGCCCACTGGCTTCTCAAGGGGGCAGTTCAAAGATACTCAGCAACCCTTAGGGATCAGGGCCCACAAAACTGACCTAGGGTAAGGCTGAGGGAAGCAAAAGCAGTATCAGGAACTGTCTTTGGCCTGCCCCTCCACTCCTAAGTCTGGGGAATTGATGTCAGAGCTCAACAATATACTGAATTAAGTGTAATTACAGCCTTGATCCACCATCTCCTTCTGGGGATCCTCCCCAGCGGGGGCGGGAGTGGGGAGTGGTCCCTGGACTGGATCCAAACACATGTTCCCCATCCCAGCTCCCTGGGCTTCTGACAGCTCCAGGGGCACAGGAACAACTGCTCCTCCCTCCAGATTTACAGACGGCACTGTCGGAGGTGAGCATTCAGCAAACTGAACGCTGGGCACGAGCCCTCAGGAGAGGGATGGAAGGAAATCATCTGAACTACTGCTGTGAAATTGGACTTCAGTGTGCACAAAGGAACCTCACATTAGTGACAGAGAAGAAAGGCGGGTGGGAGGACTGAGGCCCTGAGGGCTTAGGGTAAAGAGGAGACACTGGGTGGGGAAGGAGAGCTGGTGGGGCAGGCAGGAAGAGGCAGTGTCCCAGTGCTTGTGGGGGTCAGGGGCAGTGGGGG